TCTTTGTTGTTAGGCTTTTGATGGCTTCTTCAATTACATTGCTTGAAACTAATCTGTTTAAATATTCAATGTCCTCCTGATTCAATATGGGTAGATCACATGTCTCTAGGAACTTGTCAATGCCTTCAAATTTTTCTATTTTATTAGAGTATGAATTTTCAAAATAGTTTCTATTGTTTATATTTCAGTAGTGTCCATTGTAGTATTTCCTTTCTTAAAAAATATTTTTTAGTTTTAGATAGACATAACATTTTTATTTTATATTTATGTGGCATTGAAAATTGAACCCAGTGCCTCATGCATACTCATTGAGAGCACTCTACCACTGAGCCACAACCCCAGCCCCATGATATTTCCTTATCTATTAAATATTTTAGTAATTTGAGTTTTCTCTTTCTCTGTTAGCTTGGCTAAGGGTTTATCAATTTTATTTATTTTTTTCAAAGAATTAATTGGGGTCTCTGAGGACCTCATGGCTGTGACATGTGTGGTGCCTAGGAATGTTTCTATGCAAAGGTGCAGGATGCCTCACTGCTGTGATAATGCTCTCCACTAGGAGGCTCTGTGCTAGAGTCTTATCAGCCTTGACCTTGATCTCAGGCACATAGCTCCTGGGAATAAAGGAACTTTCTTGGTAGACAACCATAATGTTTCACTAGCTCTGCTACTCCTGAAACTGCCCACCTAACAGTAGCTTTAAACAATGGACTTTTCTGAGAGCTACACAAAGCTCCTAACATTGCATATTGCAACTGTAGAATGTAACTGCAGAAAAACTACATAATGTTGCTAGCCCTGTAACTTTCTGAGTACAAAGAATAATGCTTGAATAGTCTTTAACCTGATGAAGAGACATATGTAAAGATTGTTGCTAAAACTCTCTAGGCCTGCTTCTCCATCAGAGAGTAGCACTCCATCCAACTCCAGCTTTATCTTCAAAAACATCTGTACGTGTGTGAGTTCTTATTTTTCTTATCCCCCTCCACCCCTCGCCAGAACCCACTAGATTGGCCATGCTGGTCACAGTATTTGTTGATTTTGGGGATTTTTTTGTTTTCTTTCAATTCCATTGATTTCAGCTCTGATTTTAATTATTTCCTGTCTTCTTACTGCTTTTGATGTTGATTTGTTCTTCCTTTTCTAGGGTTTAGAGATTTAATGTTAGGCTATTTATCAACAGTACTTTTGATTGTGCTCAAATCTGATGCAGTGTTGAAAAGGGTTACAACTAGAAATAAATCAACTCTTCTGTCTGATTTCACATTTTCCTATTATATGGTTCACCAAAAGAGCACCCATTGACTATTTACATTTACACATATACTCACACAAAGACAAACAACTTATACCTAACTTTAAACAGAGTAAAGGACATCTGAAATGACTGGAACTCAGAAAATCAATCTTGCCTTGCTGGCACTAATTCATAAAGTAAATTCTCATAGGATGTGCTGTCTCTCCAGTATTTTACATGTTCTTTTCATTGCTGTACTAAATTACACTCCAGTACACTGAGAAAATTTTCCTTTAAATTTAGAATGATACAAAATATTAAGCAAAGTATATCACTGCACAGAAATATATATATATACACATATATATATATATTTATATATTATGAGTGTGTATATATATATACACATCTAAATATAATTGTATAATCAATTTCTAGAATCCTGGAAGAGCCACAATCTAAACACTAATAAATAGATTTCTAATATTTGTTGACTGTGTTAAACAGTTGAGTCAGAGTCAAAATATCATATTGCATATGCATTTACTCAAAATCATGTGAAACATTTAAACTGAATTATGGATTTTTTAAATTTTCTGTGACTCTGAGTAAAACATTTTTTGTATACATTTCCATTATATGAAAATGTAAACTCACTATATAGATTTATTAAGAACAAAACCTTAACATACTTTTAAAAATATGGATTAAATTACTATACAGAAGGTAAGATTCATTTCTTCCTTATTGAAAAGTGTATTTGTGTGTGCTTCTATGAACATGCAAGATGCAAGCTTTGTGCAGAATGACGTATCTTAATTTTTTAGAATTTTTAAATGTCACAAGATTACTTTGTTTTCATTAATTTAGGGATTTAAAATCAAAATTATAACAATATATATTTGAAAATCATCCTACAAAGATTATTTTTAATAATCTTTAATTATTAAAATTATTAATTATTTTAAGCAATTCCTTCCTTCTGTGATTATACACACAGACATGCACCATCATACAGATAACACATCACATGTAATCATTTCTAACTCCTATAGTTTTGAGTTTAACATAATTAACCTATAGAGTGTAATAAAACAACCCCAAATCAATTTAACTTAAATGTAACAATATGCCTTTTAACTATAATAGGATTATATTAGGAGTAACAAAATGAAATGATAAATTCATAGGTAAGTGGAAATTAACTATACCTAAATAACTAATGAGTTCAAAATAAATTACATAGGACATTTTGATGAATAATAATGAAAACACAATATATTAAAATTCTTGAGCTAAGTGTAAAGCAGTAGTTAGAGGGAAATATATAGCACTAAGCCTATATAAAAAATATGAGAAGGATCTCTAGTCAATGACCTAACATTCTACTCTTAAAAATAAGAAAACATAAGAGCAAATCAAGTCCAAAGCAAATAGAAGGAAATAAATAATAAAAGATAAAAATTAATAAAACAAAAAATACAGAAAATCAATACCAAAAGTTGGATCTTGAAAATATTAACAAAATTCATAAAACTTGAAGTAGGTTGACCAAGATAAAAAGAAATGACTTATTTCATAAAATCAGGAATGAAAGAAATGACATTATTAACTATTTAGGTAAATAAAAAAGAACAATCCAATGAATACCTGTATGCCAAGAAATTACTTACATAAAATATCTCAAGAAGAAATCGAAATTTTGAATAGACCTATAACAGGCTAATAGAATTGACAACATATTGAATTAATAATTTTTGAAAATCTGACAAAGAAAAGGCCAGGACAAGATGACTTTAATGATGAAATAAACTAATTTCAGGAAGAGTTAATCAAATCCCTTACATATTATGACAAAAATGAAAGATTTGAAACCACTTTCCAACTCATTATAAAGAGTCAATATTGCCCTAATACCAAAACCAGACAAAGATACCCAAAGGGAAACAAAATAAAAACAAATATCTGGGAATGGAAGCAAGACTCCTCAACAAAACAGGAGAACACAGAATCTGATATGAGATAAATATAAGAGACAAAACAAAATATTGCCAGTAGTCATTATTATTAAAATTTAGAATTTTGTTTATTTTTCTTTCTACTCTAATGAATTCCCCATTTAAATGGGGTAATAAACTTCAATAATCAGAAAGAGAACATCATTTATGAGATTAAAATATAAGTTTATTCTAATAAAACATGCAAATGACTAAGATATATGAGAGAGAAAGTAGCTTTTGGAAGGTATTAGAAGAATATAAAATTAAAAAGATAAATATCCTCTGAAGCTCTCCATATTACTTTTTTTAATTATGCCTTTTTGTCTGAATTAGATAGACAAATGAGATTTTGCCTAATTTAACAAATATTAAATAATTTGACAACATTTAATGTACCAAAATATCCTTCACTGAAAAAATAGAAGAAAAATCTAAATAATAATATTTCCATTTGATAATACTTTATAGCCTAAATTAGGCTGAAGGAAAACATCCTTGGGATGATTTTTTTTAAGTCAAAGATGTTCTGTCCTTTCTTGGCAATCTTGCTAAACTGTATCTACCTAAATATCACTACTCAGGAATCAGGACAAATAATTACTTTACACTAAACCTATGGAAAATGAATAGTTTAGGATACAACTGAGTACACTTAATATTGGATATAAAAGAATTTTAATTTGTTTTGATGTTGGAAAAACAGCCTTTGCCACCTCTTCCACTGTGCTTGTCCAAAATTGGAATAAACAGAAGAATGGACCTTGAGGACAATATCACCCCATGTGAATCATAGGTGCGCAAACCCACAAAACTTATCCCAATTAATGTACCATACTTAAGAATGACAAAATTTAATCACCTGAACTTGTCCATAAGTTCTTTACTTTTTCTTCCTGAGAGCTCAATAATAGCTATCATTATTCCTAAAATAACATTTCAATCTGAGTAAAAATTACATTAGTAAAAAAAAAAAATACAACATTAAAGATAGTGATTTTTATTACTTTGACTTACTCAATGCTATTTTCACTTTCAGGTCACAAAGCATCAATTTGTGAAATATTTGTTTAATAGTTGTACATATACATCTTACACTCTGATTGTCATATAGAAGTTTGATTCTTATTTGGAATGATGCGGCAGCATACGCTTCCACAGTATGTATAGAGAGAAACTGTCTCCTTGGCACTTTTATTATAGAACCTCTGAAGCAAAAGCATACTAGAGCTCACTCTTGAAACAACCAGTGGTATCACTTCCTTCCAGGTTTTTTTTTTTTTATTTAGTTTATTTTTTGAAAATCAATAAACACCACGGGGACAATATAAAACAAATATTATAGCAACCCCTCTTAAGTGTTTACAACATGTCTTTATTAATTTCAGGTAATGATTGTAAAACACTAAGCATACACCATTCAACCATAAGTGTAAAGCACAAGTTGGCTTGAGTATAAGTGATTTCTTTGATAAGCTTAAACTTTTCCTCTCCTGCACAACATGTCGTATCTTGAATTTTCCAGAGAGCATAGCAAAAGATCATACAATCATAGAGTCCCTGCATGTGTCCTCTATTCCTTTTGAGAGACTCTGTAAGTGTACTAGATACTGCTAGTAATCATTTTACTGAATTCAAGAGTACACCTAGGCATGCTGACTAGCCAGAAAAAGACCCACTATACACAGAACTTGGATGATCTTTGATAGGTTTTTGGCTAGAATTATCTGTAATTCTACTACTCTTGAGTAGTAGAAAGCTGAACTTACTTCTTTGGGAGAAAATGCTATGCCACATTCCAAAGATGTGTTTTCTTCTATCTCCAAGGAATATATACCAGGAACTGCAGGGCTTAGGACTTCTCCTATAAGACAGGAAAAAGTACATATAAAATATAGCATCCAGATATATATTAGTTGTTTTTTTTTATTGGTTGTTCAAAACATTACAAAGCTCATGACATATCATCTTTCATCCATTTGATTCAGGTGAGTTATGAACTTCCATTTTTATCCCAAATACAAATTGCAGAATCACATCAGTTACACATTCACAATTTTTACATAATGCCATATTAGTGACTGTTGTATTCTGCTGCCTTTCCTATCCCCTACTATCCCCCCTCCCCTCCCCTCCCATCT